CTGTTCTTGGGCCCCCTGACTGCAGCTTTGATTGTTGACCTAAATTCCCCTTTCATAACTGAGTCCTGTCACCTCTGGTTGGAGTCTCCCAGCAAAACAGGCACGGCCAACTTTCAGAAGTGCAGGGCGCTGTTTTCTGTTCTGCCTTGCGTGGCTCTGACGGCTCCACAGCACCTGATGTGTTCAAAGTCACACTGAGCTCCCTCTTCCCCTTCCCCCCACCTCTCCCTCCTGGAAATGAAACCATAACAAGGGTTTGGGTTTTTTTTACTTTTTCTTTTGCCTTTCCTCCTCTCCCTCTCCCCCCACTTCCCATTGCTCAGGAAAGAGAGGAAGTTTTTCCTGCATGAAGAATGAAATTCTTAGTTTATTCTATGGCTGGTTTGGTTGCTGCAAAGATTGCTGTTATCCAGACACAAGAAATGGCACTGAAGTGAGAGAAGGAGGCCCTGGAGGATGTTATTTATAGCATTACAGTGGGTTACAACAGCTTGTATGGGCTACTCCAGCCTCTCTTCTGTCAAACTCTGCCCACAGAGGGCTGCTTCTGGCTCCAGCAGCCTCCAGCTGTGAGTTCCTGTTCCTCTGCTCCCATCCCAATTGCATCAATGTCTCCTGTCCTCACCCTGGGTTGTCTCCCACAAGTTCAGCAGCTGATGTTCTGTGCTGTGCTCATGCTGCCAAGCCCTGCCCAGTGCACAGAGCCCATGTAAAGATGTGGCTCTATTTAAATCCTCAGAAAAGTCCTGAAAACAAAGGGGGTCATAAATGCTGGAGTTGGTTAGGGGCTCCTGGAAGAGGTCAGATGGACAATGATGGTGGAGCTATTGTGGGTCAGTAGCCAAAGAACTGAGATTTTGCTTGTAAAAGGAAAAAGGGAGATTGTCTTTCTTATTTTCCATGTTTGGCTTTTGGCTTTGAGCTGCTGCAGTTGAATTATACAGCTTTCCTCACTCTTTTGATGCCTAGGAATTTACTTTTCCTATAAGGGACAAACATCATAGGACTGGAAGAAGCCTTGTGGGCCATTGAAGTCTGTCTCTGGCCAAGTATAAAGGAATGTGGCATCTTCCTCTGTTTGTGCACTTCTCCAAAGTCCTCCAAGAAGTGACTCACTCCTTTGTGGGGAAGGGAGGCTTCCAGAGCCTCTTGCTGGAAAGCTGAACTAGCACCTCTTCTTTTTGTCTTTTTTTTTCTTTTTAATTAAATACAAAATTCCATTTCAGTCCCTTGGGCTTCAGGAACAAGAGCTTTAGAAGGAAAAAATCATTCAGACTAAGGAGTAAGAAGGGCTGTCAGTGTTCTCCTCAGCTGGAGCTCCATCCCTTTCTAGCAACTCAGGGCAAGCAGAAGTGAAGAAAACTGTTTGCTGCTGTATGAAACTAGTACATATTTTTTTAATCTAATTTCTGTGGGGAAACAAACATCAGTTTTATTTCACACCATTTCTTGGCTCAGAAACTTCAGGCACATTCGCCAAATTGTGGTTTTTCAGTCATTGGCTGTGTCTCATTTACCATGAGGCCTCTTTGGTTGGTAAAGAGATATTAAGTAGCTAAAAATGTCCTTTACTGCATTATTGTAAAGAATTCTCAGTGTAAATGAGAATTTAAACTTTGTATGTTTTTCATGTAAATGTTGGTTGTGGTCACAGCTGACTTGAAATTTGGAGTGTCGACCATTATGTGGGGTGATTTTGCTCAAAACCAGCCTTGTTTGGGGCAAAAGAGGCCTCTTCTTGTTTAAAATGTTCTTAATTATGTCTGAGAAATAACTCACGGCTATGGAACCTTTTACTAAATTGAAATAAATTGTGAAAACATCAAATTATTCAGTTTTCAGAAGTTCTGGCAATTATTTCACATGTCCCTCTTCCAATGGCTTTGCCCTTATTAGTTGTCATAGAAGAAGTAATAAATTCTTTTATTATGACATCCAGTGTCCCAGCTGAAATTAGTTTCATTGTGCTGGGGACAAAACGGAAAAGTGACACTCCCTTAGCCGGAGGATCCTCAGTCCAAAGCCAAAAGTAAAGTGAAGGATTGGGAAAATAGGTGAAGCATTCAAGAAAAGAGGGTCATAAAGAAGTGGTACAACTTGCAAGGCAGTTGGGTTTCTAACCCCAGCACAAGGGAGTGTGGGTTTCTTGTCCCTGTTTTAAATTTTTTTCCTTTCTCTTAAGAATAAAACAAACTTTTGCTGCTGAAAGGCTTGTGCTCAATCCACCTTTTCATCAAGAGTTGGATGTCTGCAATAGTAAAAGTTTGAGAAAATAATACTGTACGTGGCATAAGGATTCAGTAATGACCTTTGCCCTAAAGCAGAAAATGCAAGGAGCTGGAATAGTAGAGTGTTTTAGTTCATCAGCTTTCATACTGGTGTGTTCAGTGATGTCCCTATTGTCACTGGATTTTTTTCGTTTCCTGTCCTTCTTTGGCTCCCTGTAAATCTTGAATTGATGGCAGCTGTTTGAGCCCAACTCAAGGCACGTTGCATCACATCAGGGTTTAAAGGCTCAAAGGCAAGGGAGGATTGCTACTATTCTGTAGTATTCCTCCAGCAGCTCCTCATGTTCAGCTGAGGTCAATCACCAGCATCAGGCAGCACTTCAGAGAGAGGAAGATGTTCTTTAAATGCTGCCTGGGAAACTGGACTTCCATCCTACAATAATTTATCAGTTCTTTGGTGGAATATTTCTAGCCCCGGCCAGTGTAAAGAGCAAAAACTCTTGACCCTTAAAGACTGTATGGTGGACTTTCCTGGAACTGGAGACCTGTTCCAGGACTTCCAGCTGTCCATCCAACCGTGGGGATCTTGGATGCCTGAAGAAACAGGTGGGGCAGCTTATGTGTGTGCAACTGCTTTGTGATCCACAGACCTGGAGGATTTGGTCACTAAAGATGGTAAATGAGGCTGGAGATTGTGGGGATTGTGGCAGGGATGAGTTTTTCTTCTGTGCCTCAGTCAAAACAGCCCAGGGAGTCCCTGGGGTTCCCCTGGCCATGTTGAAGACATGCAGATTCTCAGAGGGATTTGTTGGGACAAGCCCATTTCTGCATCACTTTTTCTTCTCTCACCATGCTGGCATTTCCTGGCAGGCAAAAACTCTCTTACAAAATGCCTGATCAGCTCTAATGGTCTTATTACAATAAGCTGAGATTTTTATGACTTATTTGGGAGAGGGACTTGTCTTGCCAGCTGTCTTGTTATTCATTGCAGTGTTATCCACCCACTATCACTGGACAATACCTTCATTTGAGATGCATAAAAATACAGACTTTTATGGGCTCTCATCCATCTGAAAATTAATGCTATGTAAAAGCATTTATTTCCTAAAGAAAAACTTTAAAATGCTTCAAAAACAGATTTGAAGGCTATTGGTAGCTTTGGCTCTTGTATCACAAGTTCCTCGGGTAAATACCCATCCCAGCAAATGTAATTTTTTTTTTAGCACATTTGTTTTTTTCTTGCCTGGTTCTCCTTCTCTCCTTTCTCATGATCAGAAGTAGCAGTATAAACCAGAAGCTGGTCTTGAAAAGGTTTTGAACTGAGTGCACCCTACAGATGAATAAACACATTACCTTCCGAACTCTGGGAGCTCTCTTCCAAAGGAAACAGGAAAAGGGGGAGCTCAGAATCCCTAGCAAAATACCAGTGTGCAGAAAAAAAGCCCATTTAAATGTTTTTAACTTTCCCATCAGAAGAATTTTTTTTACAGGGGGAGGAGGTGGAGAGGGGCAGGGTGTGAGGAGAAGGGGGGAAGGTGGGTGCTGGGAGAGGGGAGGAAAAATACAGTGAATGCTCCTGTAACCTTTGCTCTGTTGATACTAGACAAGACTGCACTGTTAATGAGTGATTGTTAACAGATGGCTCTTGAGCAACTTAGTCAGAAGCAGAAGATGTTATTTGGTTGTAGTGAGGGGAGGGTGAGGGTGCAGGGGTGAGGTAAGGGGATATTTAGTCTTTTCACGAGGACTGAACTGTCAGAGATTTATTATTTTCCTTTAGGCTTTTGGAAGTGGAGGCTCTGGGGAAGGATTGTTTTCTATGTGCTGATAGTAGAAAGGCCATTTGGTGCTGAAAGCTCCAATGATTTTGTTTTTGGTGAGGGGTGTCCCTGCAGCCCTTGGCCTTTGAGGACTGAAGGATGGAAATGTCTGTTTTTAACTCACTGAGCCTTGTGTCCCAAACTGGGGAGGAGTGGGCTCTGTCCACTGCCTGGAGCTGTCTGAGGGCTGGGTGAGAGAGCTCTAAGTATGGATCTACACTTTGGGAGAGAAATCTTTCCATGGTACATTGAGTTGGTAGGAAGTGTGCCTGTGAGGGGCGGGAACCTTTCTGAATGTCCATCTTTCTGGGGATGCTCATCTGAGTGTATTTCTTGCCCTTCCCCAGTGTGGTGTATACCAGTGTATGCCATGTGCCTACTGGGTTTTGTTGGGTATGAATTTGAAGGCAGCCTGAACACATCCCATTCACTCTCTGCAGGATTTGTGTGCTTGAACTTAACAAGGTGACTGCAGCTGCTCAGTTTTTCTCAAAGTGTGCAGAATTTAGATTTTATATTTATTTCCCTTCTGGACCTTATTAGACACATGGTTCAGGGGTATGAGGGATGAATGACATCAACAGGGATTGGTTCTCAAGACTGTTTTTGTTTTCAACCACTGATGAATGGCTTGAGGGAAGGGAAGAACCAAATGCACAGTCCAACGTTTTACTGATAGGAATTTGCAGGAAAGTTTTGGACTTTGGTCAAGAAAAGGGAATCCCATTTGTACACACCACTGGCAAATCTTTACCTTTAATAGGAAGTCTTGACATGACCTCCCACAATGGTGCACTAGATGATTTAAAGCCTTCCTTGTGCACTAACTATCTAACAGATGTAGGTGAGTGTGTGTATATACATTTAGAGAGATATATTTACACAATTTAAAGACTAACACCTTCATTCTGTCATCCTTATTTATTCATATTTCTCTTTTGGGGGCACATAGGACTGTATGACAAATGTTCTTACACCTCCCGTGACCGAGGCTGGGTCCTGGGGATTAACACCGTCAGTGACCAGGGGAACAGAGACCCCCGCTATTTCTTCTCGCTGAAGACGGACCGTGCTCGCAAAGTCACCACCATTGCAGCACACCGCAGCTACCTCCCCAACCAGTGGGTGCACCTGGCTGCCACCTACGATGGGCGCCTGATGAGACTCTACGTGAACGGTGCCCAGGTGGCCACAAGTGGAGAGCAAGTGGGCAGCATCTTCAGTCTGCTGACCTTGAAGTGCAAGGTGCTCATGCTGGGAGGAAATGCCCTGAACCAGAACTATCGGGGTTACGTGGAGCACTTCAGCCTCTGGAGGACAGCCCGGTCTCAAAAGGAGATCTTGTTGGACATGGAGCAGACGATTCACAGGCAAGACACGCCCCTACCTCAGCTCGTTCTTCAAGACAGTTTACTGAATGTGAAAAGCAGCTGGTCTCCCATGAAGGATGGCAGCAGCCCTCAGACCAAGTTCAGCTACCACCACGGCTATCTGCTGGACACCAGCCTGGACCCTCCTCTCTGCGGGCAGACAGTGTGTGACAACACGGATGTCATCGCCAGCTACAACAAACTGCCCAGGTTCCGCCGCAACAAAACCGTGCGCTACCGCGTGGTGAATCTGTACGACGACAAACATCAGAACCCCACCGTCAGCCAGCAGCAGATCGAGTTCCAGCACCAGCACCTGAACGAGGCTTTCAGCCGCTACAACATCACCTGGGAACTGGAGGTGCTGGAGGTGAAGAATTCTTCCCTTCGCCACCGGCTCATCCTGGCCAACTGCGACATCAGCAAGATTGGGGATGAGAACTGTGACCCCGAGTGCAACCACACCCTGACGGGGTACGACGGCGGGGACTGCCGGCACGTCCGCCACACGCTCTTCAACAAGAAGAAGCAGAATGGGGTGTGTGACATGGATTGTAATTACGAGAGGTACAACTTCGATGGGGGAGAGTGCTGCAACCCAGAGATAACAGAAGTCACCAAGACCTGCTTTGACCCATATTCTCCTTACAGGTAGGCAATTTCTTTTTATGACCATATTGATGAATATCTGTCTAGGTATTGATCATCCTGCTGGCTGTTGAAGCCTTTCGTTGTTGCTATTATGGGCTTTGGAGTTTAATGAATTTATTTTTTTTCTCAGTATTTGGCTCACATTGCAGTTCTCCAAATGCAATCTCAGTAATGGTCTCAGCAGTCTTACCCCTGAATTGATATTCCCAGCCAGGCTAAGGAAAATCTGTTCTAAAGACTGAAGCAGCCAATTTTGAGAGACCCATTAGTGGTTGGCTATGAGCAGCATATTGTAACAGTGCACAGTTTATTTTAACTCCAGGCTCTGAAGAGTGGGGATTGGATGTCACAGAAAGCTCATGTGTATTTGGAGAGGGAAAAGGCCCTCAGGCATGAAACAGAACATGAATACTCTTAGGTAGACTTTAATTCTGTAGCACTTTGAGAATAGCTAGGTAACTCCATACTCCTACTGCTGTGTACAGCTCTCTGTGGGCACTACTGTGGAGGGGCAGCTGAGTCTGGGGGCTGTGAGGAGGGAGGTGGGTACCAGATTCCTGTTGCATGTTCTGGGTGGGTAATGAAACTCCTCTGTTCCCCTTTCTAAACAAAAATGAGAACAGGAGTAATGCCACTTCATTGCAGGGCAGCTTCTGTAGGTGGATGTGAGCTCATAAAATCCTCAGCTCCTCAGCTCAGGCTTCCTTGGGCTGCAGTTTGAGGAGTGGCATGGTCAAATAACTTGCATCAGGTGGGTACCATGTACCTACAATTACTCCAAATTCAGATAAGTTAGTACGTTTAAGTAATAAGGTGTTTCTTGTGAATGAGTTAGAAGTATAAGCACAGAAAATATGAAAATTAAAGCTGAAATTCTGTTATCTGCATTCCATGTTACAGCTTTTTTAGGGTAGTTCATGGAGCCATAGAGGGGAAACTTCTAAATGGTCAGAATTCCCAACACTAAAGTTCAGGTAAAGAAGGAAAGTACAAGCTCTTCACGAGTCCCTTCCATTGCAGCAATTCAGGCTATATTTATAGCTTCCTTAATAGAGAGAAATTTTTAAACAACATTATCAGCTCTACTGGAGCTTTAAATACACATAATTAAGTTGGAAAGAAAAGCCAATTTTTTTTTTTTTTTTACTCCAGCAAGGTTGTTGTTTAAAAAAATCTTTCTAGCTCAGTTTGACTTCAGTCACTTACCAGTGAACAAAGCTCAAATGAGGAAATTCTTTAAATATTAATGCTTGAAAACATTGAAAGGAAAAATACCAGTTTTTAATACTGTTCAAATTGAGAACTCCACTAAGCAAATATCATCAAAAGCATAATGCAAATTGGATTGTTTTAACACTGTAGTTCTGAGAACTCAAGGTGTTAGCTATAGCAACTAACACAATTTTTAGGAAAAAAATACATTCTTTTTAATCTGATAGTACCCTTTTATCACTTGTTCTGTGACCAGCATAATACAATTTGGAGACAACCACCGGACTGAGCTTGTCTGGAGGACTTAGATCTCATGGCCCTCATCTCACAGATCTTCTATAGGTTCATTTTGACTTGAGAGCAACCTCTTGATCTAAAAGAGGAGGGGAGGCCTGAAGATCCCCTTCCACAGTCTAGAGCCTCAGAAAATCCAGAGATGCCCCAAAGATTTTTTTTTTTTTTAACAGACATTTAATTTATTTATCTTTGCACAGACATGGTATTGCAGCATTGATCATTGGCAATGAAACTACAGAGGGCAGTGGGAGAAATTCCAGGTCTCTGGAGTCTTTATTTGGTGGCTGATGTGCTTTGGAACTCAAACTCACTACTGTGATGAGTGTTTGTACTCAGTAAGGCAAAATAGAGCAGTTGGATTTACTGAAACTGAAGTTTGTAAGCCTGATCCTGAATACTGCTTTGGGAATTTAGGTTAACAAATACAGGTTTAGGGCAGTGATTTTGGCAGTAAAGCCTTTACTGATTACAGGGGAGAAGATTCAAATCCTGGTTTTGGCTTTGGTGTTGATGTCAGCATCATCCCCTGAGAAACAGATTTCTATGTCAATTAGTGACAAAGTAAAAACTTGGTTGGCACCGTCTGGGCCTGTTTTGCATCCCCAGCCCCCTTTCTCATTGCATTCATTGGCCAAGAGTCCTCAGTCCCCTTTAGTGCAGATCTTGTACCACAGCAGTGAAGGCCTTGCAGCCATGAAGAACTCACATCTCATTTCAGGTATTTCCTCCACCAGAGTTCACTCCAACAATAGCAGAAGAAAGGGCAAAGATCCGTCAATCTGGTGAGGAAAGAGAGGGAAGAAAGATGAAGTGGTACCAATAAAAATTTTCCTGAACTTTATTTAAAAAGACTTTTCAGAGTCTTCCTTGGTACTGGGCTTTGTTTCTTCACACCCTCAGTGTCAGCAGTTGCAGCCAGCTGTTCACCAAGCAGAGCTTATTCATTAAATACTTCTGTCCTCTGGAACCAAGCAAGAAGTGCTAATGCTTGATTAATGCTGTAATAAACAGGAACCCTCCTCAGTGCCTCTTTTTCCAAAAAAGATGATTTATCTGTTCCCAGCCACTTTCCTTCTTATTATGAGTCCCAGTCCATGAAGCTCCATCCTAGGACAGAGTTGCTCTGAGCCGTGATGCAAAAAACACTGTGGGTGCTTTGTGATTAAGTGGAACCACTGGAACAATTCCAAGACACCTCTGATCTGTGTTGCAATTTTCTTGTGATCCTTATGGGCACCTGGGACAAAGGGCTCAGGTACTTTGATGGTGTCATTCAGTCACTGTGGTGGTAAAACTGTGGTGGCTTCAGAGCAGATCCCAGCAGCACAGCTGGTAGATTTCTTTTCTGTTTCCTGCCTTCTTTGTGGCACCTTTCCAAAAATATTTAACTCCAAAAAGCTGATGTTCCATGCCATAGTGAGGTGGCAGAGATTTAAGTTTGTCAGAGGGACAGCAGTAAGAATGGGAATTCTGCTCTCAGAGCTGCTCAGCAGAAAAGCTGTAAACATTGTGGTACCAACTAGATCATCTCTCCTCTTTTTTAATAGCCTGCAGGGAAAAAACAAAGGACTGGTTATCATTAGCCACACAGCAGGCTTTATCCAAGAATATCTGCCTCACTTCTTTTCATTAATTTCATGAGAGTGGGACAAAATGTATTTTGTCCCAGCAGAAGGTTTACAAATATTGTTCTGCTTTTCTGCAATTCTGGGAAATTAGAACATGCTAAGATCATACAGTTTGGCCCAATACAAAGGGAAGGAGCAAGAATAAACACCCTTGCCAGAAAGACTCATTCTTTGTGTTATTTGGTATATTGCTGGTTACAAAACAGGGAAGACTTTGAGCTCATGACACCTACCATGGCTGCTTTTCAAAGAACTTGAAAGAAGCAGCAAGGGATCATAGGAAATCATGCTCGGTAAATGCCATTTGATGTGGTGAGTTCTTGCACCATCCTATGGTTAACTGAGACGTTCCTTTTATGTAATATTGGGCTTGTACATCAGGCTTCACCACAGGATTCCATGGACAGATAAGGAAGCATTCCCCTCGGTGCCTTCTTAGGAAAATGTTGATGAAATTCCTGAAGCAGTAAAAGTACTGGAGTCTCTTCAAGCTCCCTCAATCCATATGGCCTACCACATACTTGTTGGAAATCACCCCAGAATAGCTGTCCTGGGGACAGACTTTCTCAACATCCACATGTGTGCCCCAAAGGCTCACAGCCCTTCATTTCTGCCTAAAGGAGGAGCAGAATGAGCTGTACAAGCTCTGGTCCATTTGCAGCAAACTCAGGTTGGCACTAAACCAAGGAATCACAGAACCACAGAATGATTTGGGTTGGAAGGAACCTTAAAGATCATCCAGTTCCAGCCCTCCCTGAGAGCTGGAGCCTGTGTCCTTTTCTAGCACTTGTATTGGACAGTTCAGCTTTGTTCATATCGTGTCACACCACATTCCAGGCATACATAAATTAGATTTAAAATACATGCCTGACCCATTTGTAGGAATTTCCATAGTGGCTTTGAGCAGCAGTGGGTGTGACAGAGCTGTGTGTGAGCACACTGGGCTAGGCATGTGGGCCAAAGCAGTAGCATTGGGAGGAGGAGGTGGTGGCTAATCCATAGCCCAGGGCAGCCTCAGCCTGAGGTGACTGAGCTGCACTTCAGGGCTCTTCCATGGAGTACCATCTCAACCTCTTTTCCTTCTCTTCTGCTGGAATTCTCTTCATGAGACGTACTTGAAAAATATGGTCAACTTACTCTGGAGGAGGGAGGCACATTGAATGCCCTTTTCCAGGAGCTGAAGTTGTAAGAAACACTCCTTCATTCCCAATAAAGCACTAATTTCCACTTAATCCTAAACACTAAAAAGAACAGAAGAAATTCTTCAAAGCTCTTCAGTTCCGGGAGCTTGAGAACTTAATCCCCTGCCTCGAAGAGACCATTGTGCAGCTCTTGACATCAAGGACGCCTGCATTCACACAGGTATCAGACAGACATATAGCAAATACCTGAGTTTTTGTCTAGGGATTCAGTGTTAAATGTCCAGTTCTTTAATTAGCAGCTCCAGGGCTGTTTAGGAGGCGAAGAGTAATACTGTCAAGGACGGAGCTGCTGTATCTTGGTAGTTGTCACCCAAAAGCCAAGTCCCAACAGGAAATCCTCTGTTCTCTCTGTTTATTCTGTCCTCTGTTCCAGATGTCAGGGATGTTAATCAGCTGGGAGGAGTTGCATCTGTTCCCATGCTAGCAACTGACATTTATAAGTCTAGTATTGAATTCTGATACAGACAGGACTGCAGTGCTAAAGAAACTATTTCTATACTATTCCACACCCTAGAAACAGTAGGAGTTTGCTCAATTTAGCTTGACCCACAGTCAACTTTTCCAACAGCTTTTTTCAAGAAACATTTTTTCGCCAAGACTCATAGAACTCATGGTTTCTTTCATGGATGTTATCCATTAAGGAAAAAGATCACTGTCTGGT